TTTCCCTCCCCCTCTCCCTCCCTTCCTCCCTCCTTCCTCCTTATTTTAATAGTTGAAAATGGGAAAGCGAAATTTAATAAATGCGTTTGTGTCTTTTCCAAGTGTTCAGTGGAATGTGGCGAAGGAATACAACATCGTACAGTCACTTGTCATCGAGTGAATCGCTATGGATGGATCGATCCAACCCCAACCGAAGGTTGTCTAACGGATCAGAAACCGGCCGAGGATCAAATTTGTAAACTACGAGAGTGTAGCGATAAATATTATTGGGTTGCTGGCATATGGAGGAAAGTGAGCGCATTCTCAGTAATTCTGTTTTAGTTGAAGCGGACATTTTATTATATCGAGTATATTAGCAATTATAATGCAAAAAGACAATTCTTTTTAGTTTAAATAAAAACAATGGAAAACAACTTGGGTGATACAAGATTGAAGTCTTTAAGGAAAATAGCGATAATTTTAATATCAATTTTTCTAAAATTGATTTATTTACACATTCAGAGAAATGATGTTATTTGTGTCAAAAAAATTACAGAGATATTAAGTAACATATTGTGTAATGAATTATAATTATATATATTTCTTACATATATGCAAACATTTATCATGTTTTTGACTTGTTTATAAAATCAAATAGAATTTTTTTTTTGTTTTTAATCTAATAAATCTTGTTTTGTCTGAAAGTTTGAGAGAGAAGGGGGGGAGTAAAGAGAGAGAGAGAGAGAGAGGAAGAGAGAGAAGCAAGCTTCAATGTTTTTTCTTCTTTTTCATCTATTTCAGTGTAGTCATCCTTGTGGACGCAAAGGTCGACAAATCCGTAAAGTTTATTGTCACGACGCAATCGGCAAAAAGGTTGCACGGTTTCATTGTCCAATCGAATATAAACCGCAACGAAAACGTAAATGCAATCAAAGAAGATGCGGACCAGTCACTTGCCTTGAAATTCAGAAACGACTCAAAGCTACCACAGACGGTGAATATTCATTATTAATTGGTGGTAGAAATATGACGATTTATTGTCACGGAATGTCGAGCGTTGAGCCACGAGAATATCTGACATTGCCAGCTGGTGACAACGAGAATTATGCAGAAATTTACGATAAAAGGTTAGTAAATTATTCCTTTTCTCTCAAAGAATTATGTATTATCGTCGATCAATTTTATGTAAAAATTTGCATTGTTCTTATTTTTGTATCCATATTCTTTTTTTATATATTGTCATTATAGTATATATATAAAGAGATAATTTATTATATTTTCTTAAAGAGATATTATTCTCTTTCTCTCTCTCTTCCCCCCCCCCCTTCTCTCTCTCTAGATTGATTACCCGAATATCCGTTTATTCGAAATATTTTGTTTTGCTATTGTTTCGCATTATTTTGAATAATGAACGAATGTTATATTGCATCTTATTTTCGGAATATCCTTCAGAATGTTATGATCCCAGCGATTCAATAACTTCCTGCAACGTTCTTTAATGACATTTAATATGAATAAATCAGGTTGAAAAATCCACACACGTGCCCGTTTAATGGTCAAAGGAATGATAGCTGCAACTGTGTGTCCGAATTGGGGACAGTTTCTGGTAGGACAATGTTCAAAAGAGTGCGCATAGATCCTGCAAAACTCTACATTATAGGTAAGTAAATTGAAAAATTTTAACAAAATTTATTACATAAACAAAAGTATTTACATTTGTAACTTCAATTATTTATGTACACAAGTCACCAAAAGACTTTTTAAACAAAAATATTATAATTTTGTACTCGCATAAATTTGAATAGAAAGAATGATAATGATAATAATGTTATGACAAAAATCATTTTTATCCTTCTTTATCATGAAATTTTATGGTGGAAGATGAGCTTTGTAATCAATCTTGCATTTTGCGGATAAAAGTTATGTGCTTAACGAAAGAGTTTTGCAACGTCAAGCAGCTACGGTTCATTTCAAATTGGCATCACCATCACGTGATAGCATCAGTTATGTATGTCGCGTGTTTCGTATCATATATGTTTTCATCGTGTCGCTTTTTTACTTTCTTCGTCAGATCTAAACATTGCGCAGGTAATTAACTCCCACATCATGTTCGCAAGCTTATATATATATATACAGGATGTCTGGTAAAGATTGTGCCAACGCTCGTGAGCTGGTAGAGCACAGTAAACTGAATAGAAAAGTCCTTTACCATTTTGCGATTTCCGTAATAATTATTGAGAAATTAATTTTAAAAAATCGACCAATTCGTGTGAGTATAAGCGCACAGCGAGAAAGAACGGCCCAGAGACATTCCAAAAGTTTGCGATCGCTAGGTGCGCGAGGAAGTTTTGGGAGGAGCGCTCTACAAATGACAACGGTTTCGTACGAGCGGTACATAACGATGGATTCTCGCGTCCTTGCAACCACACATCAATGGGTTGTCCCTTTTTACTGCGCGCTTATACTCACACGAATTGGTCGATCTTTTTTAATTAATTTCTCATAACGATGGTCCTTGCAACCACACATCAATGGGTTGTCCCTTTTTACTGCGCGCTTATACTCACACGAATTGGTCGATCTTTTTTAATTTTTTTAATTATAATTATTACGAAAATCGCAAAATGATAAAGAATTTTTCTGTTCAGTTTACTGTGCTCTACCCGCTCACGAGCGTTGGCACAATCTTTACCGGACACCCTGTATATTCAATTGTAAATATAAATATAGTTGTCAATAGGTCTG